CACATATATACTTCAGCTTAGTATTATTTTCAATCACACACACACACACACACACTCACATTCAATTGAAAGCCAACCAGATCGATGCGATATGGAAAATGGAGATGAATCGCAGCTATTCAGCTATAAAATGCTGTTAACTATGTGCATGTGTGTACAGACAATATGGTGTGCGTGTGTGTGTGTGCGTGTGTGTCGCATGACTTTAGATATTTTATTGGTTTCAAGCGGCTGCCGCAGCGCGCACTATTCAAAGATTTATATGAAAACTCAAGGATCAAGCTGCAAGTGCTGCTGCTGCTTATAAGTAGTTGTATGTGTGTGTGTGTGTGTGTATCTGTGTAAGCATGACATTTGTCAACTGCAAGTGGCTGCCAAGGAGCAAACTTGCATACAACTGCAAGGCGTATGTTGACGACCAAGTTATGTCCTTGCCACAAATTCATATACTTACACGCACACACACATACACACACACACCCACACACGCACACTTACATAAGTACAGTGAAGCCTAGCCTTGCTTGAAAATCTCAAACATAACAGTGAAATTTGTAATACGTTGGAATACAATCAATGAAACTTTTTTCAAAATCCTTTCAATTTATTTACATTTAATTTATAATTATAATTTAAATTTTTTATTTTAAAATTTCTAGTGTATTTGGAAATTGATTATCAAACGGGAAAAAATAAATTAAATGTTAATGAATTACATTTAATTTAACTAATTGAAATCAAAAACTATGTTCTTATTGGATTCTATTTTTTTTTTGCAGTGTACTTTCTTTTTACATATGAAGCAACTATTTTAAATATCTTTAAATTCTTATTGAAAATTGTTGAACAATTTGAAATATAATTTATTTACATTTAATCGAGCTATTTAATTTGGGAACTATGTAAATATCAGACTGAAAACTACTGAGGTCCACTTTATTAACATTTAATGACATTATTTAAAATATAATTGCATATCTTATTGGAAAATTAATGTCGTATTGGAATTCTACATTTCTTTCCAGTTTTAGAGCTAATATAGTTGAGCGTCGCTTAGGAAACTCTAAAAATGATAATTGATCTATAAATATATATATCTGCTATAGATTCGATCCCATTGGGGGCGTGGCAAATTTAAAGAAGTTCGTTATAGCATTGCCGAACTGTTGCGTATGCGTGATAAGTTTTACTATCTGTTCGCATTATAAGAATTTTTATTTTAATTTTTACGCTTTGTATGCTCACTTCAAGTCTTCTGTTTATGTACACACACACATACCTACATGAGTGTTAGGGTGTTCGTATGTGAGTGTGTGTACACCTATTGAAGACAGCTGAGTTTCAGGCCAAGAGCCCAACAAGAAATATTCGCAGAGTGAACTGCTTTTTTTTTTCAAGTTTTTCTTCTTCTTTTATTTTTAGTTGTTCTTATATTTCCTTTTTTATTGGGTGCTTCTGTGGCCCACTTTGTCGGTGACTGGCAAGTTTTTTGGGTTGTTGTTGTTGCTGTCTTTTTACACTTTGTCGCATTGGAAGGAAGTGTGCAGCACTTGAGAACTACTTTTACTTTTGTGTACGCAACACTGTACCCGCCTGGCCACGCCCACAACTGCTTTTCAGCTTTCGCTGATATATACTGTGTATATGTGTATGTATATGTACATAACTATATCACACATATCGTATATCGGCATTTGCTGAAGCACCTGCCAGACAAACTTAGTTTTTTGCTAGGCGACGTCTTAAAGCTCTTCATTTCTTTCATTCTTTCTTTCCCATGTCCTTGAGAGTATCCACAGTGTATGTGTGTGCAATTAATGTGACCCCATATGTGAGTGAGTTAACAGGCGTGAAATGTGAAAGAACAGATATATAAGATTTATAATAAGACTTCAGGGTCAAAGTTGCGGCTAGAAAGTCTCAGTAGATGATAAAATGATGAAAAGAAGAGATAAAATATAGAAGACATTGAATATATATGTTTGAAGATCTAAAAATTTCAAATTGTTGATGAAAGATAGAATGGGGCAGGTAGAAGATAGTAAAATATGGGAAACAGATGGAAGATAGTATACATAATGGTTAGAAACAGAAGATTGAAAAAAGGGATACCAATATCAAGGAAAAAGCATTAAAGTAGAGGCTACAAATTAGAGGAAACTGAGATCGATAGTAGAGGCTAGATGATAGAAGATGAGGCAGACGATGGAAGATAGAAGACAGAATATAACGGTTAAACATAGAAGCTAGAATATAGAAATTTTAATATAGAATATCGAATAGGGCAGATAGAAGATAGATGACAGAAGATGGAAGATAGGAGATGGAATATAGAAGATAGAAGGCAGAAGATTGAAGATGTTAGATAGAAAATAGCAATTGGAAAATATAAATATTGTAGAAAACAGTAAAGATCAAAGATGGGATATGGGGATAGAAAATATAGATATAGAAGATGTACGATGCCAGATCGAAGATAGAAGTAAGAGAAATGGAGTATGAAAGATAGCAGATAATACAGCTGGGACAGAAAATATATAGACTTTAGAAAATAAAATATAAAAAGATGGAGTATAAATAATAGCTTTTAAATATATTTCTTCGATTTCTTCAAAACTTACCCTGACTCGAAGAAACTTTTCTTTGGTTTGCTATTCAAGGAGTATGAATCAAATTGTGAACAAGTGTTTAATGAGTAAACAAAGTGTCTCCAACTCACTTTTAGATGTCCAACTGCCACGCCTCAGTTCGATACACACTCACACACACACACAATGACAATGGAGCCAACACAGGTCTAATTAGAGCAAGACTTGCAAAATATGGGCAATAAAAAACATAGTCCGAACAATGGCAAACAGCAAAGATAATGTCTGTCAATAGAGGAGGGAGCAGTAAGGGTGGAAGGGTCAGAGGCAGCAGTGAAAAGGGTTGAGTGGCTGGCCGAGGGGGCGGGGGTTGGTTAGACTGTTGGACTGTTGGTTGGCAAAGTTTTCTCTTGTCAGGTGTTGTGTTTGTTTTTGTTGTTGTTGTTGCAGTCGCGACATTATTAACACGTGACTGCAAAATTTTTAATTGCCCACGTTGATTGAGGGCACGTGGGCGTGGCATGGGGAGGAGGCAAGGCTTGGCGTTGTTAGACATTAAAATAAGAATGATAATGGCAATAATAATAAAACTGTCGCAGACTGCGAAGCGAGGCACAAGCAGCTCGTAAAGCTTTCCAACAAGCGCAGTGAAAGTAGTTTAACAACAACACGAAGAGGAAGAAGAAGAACAACAACGACAACAACAGCAACAACGAGACACAGCAGCCAGCATCCACGAGCTGCAGCCACAAGGTAAAGCCATAAAAAGTTAAACATTGCGCATACGCCACATTGGTGGCGCGATTTTTCGTTGTTCTTTTATTTTACATTATTATTATTATTATTCATTTTGCTTGATTTTGTTGTGTTTTTTATTTTCGTTCGTTTGGGTTGTGGGGTCCATAATAAAGCTGTAAAGTGCAACTATATATTTATTGGCCATAAATAAATTCTTTTATTATAACCTAAACCCATTGAAAATGGGAAAACAGGGTATGATGATTTGGTTAAACTGTATGTACCAGGCATGTATGTAACATGGCGTAACACATAAAGTATATATTCTTGATTAGGGCGACGATCTGAGATTATGAACGAAATTAACAAATGTATTGAGCTCAATTTAAAATAATAAGAACCAAAAATAAAAATATTTCTATTTATAGCAATTACATAAAGACTGATAATGCCCAAGTATAGCTCCAATAAGTCATTGCCGAATTCGAGATTTTGAGGATTCGTTTTGCGGTACACGACTCAGGCGAATCCAGCCTTAAATTAATTCCAGAGACTTGTGTTTTTTCATATACAGAATTATTGGAATATCTGTATTTCGAAGTGTCCAGGGGATTCTGTAGTCAAGCCGTCTCAACTATACCTTTCTTACTTTGCATTGTTATTTGCTTTTATGATGCTTTTTGCTTTATGGAAATTATTATAAAGTTTCGTTTTCAAGTTGTTTACCAGCTGAAATTTATGTTCATTTTTTATTTGCTCGGTTTTGAGAATTATCAAATTCGAAGAACTTTAATAATGGAGTTACATTTTGTAAATTGATTTTTAGTTTGTTCTTGGGAGATGAAAATATGGAAATATTAAATGACCTAAAAGCTGTGTGTGTTAAATATTTGATTACCAATTCAAATTAATTATAAGAGATTTATAGAACATATACACTTGCATACATATAACAGATTTGTTGAGATATCAATCAGTTTATTCCGTCATTCGTTTTCACAAATGATGAGAAGAGAAGAGAGTCAGTAAACGGGCGCACAGATGACGTAAGCCGTAGCTGAGCTAAGTCCCTTATTGGAAACTGTTCTAATAGCTGAACTGAACTGCTTTGTGCGTGTGTGTGTTACATACGTTTTGTCTAATAAACATCTGTACCAAACAATGCTAATGGTGTGAGCGGGAGAGAGTGCAGCTATTGAGAGCGTAAGAGTAATCTGCGCTCTGCTTGAATTGTGGTCGTATTACTGCGTATGCCGCGTTTCAATTAGGCGCGAGCAAACGGGCAAGATAATTGCATGTATGTATGTATGTGTGAATATGTGAATCTGAGCTTACTGCAGGTAAGACAATGCATTAGCGTATTCTGTGCATTAGCATATGTATTAGTGGCTGTGCGTGTGTGAAGTGCGAGTATAACAAATGAGAGCAGGAAGGGATAAATATGAGCTTATATGTCATAAGCATGAGAGCCAGAGCGTGAGAACTAGCTGCATTGGGTAATCTTGTGTTAGTGTTAGTGTGTATGCCGAAATATTTTTATGCATATAACAGATCCAGAGCGAGCGTTAGCAATGGCGTGAGCGGGAGTAGCTGTAGATAATGAGAGCGTGAGAACTAGCTAACTTGAGCTATGTTAACTCCATGCCAAATTCTGTGTTTTAGTCTGTGCGCGCCTGCTGTGCTGATCGGTTTACTCTTTGTGTGGGGATCTATAAATTACCCATGCTTGCATATACAATTAATATGACTTTGAAGTGTTCAAAAAATTAAGTTTATTAAATTAAAACAAAATAATATTAATAATAAATTACCTGCCAGGTAAGTTTAATGCATTTATTTACAATATTTATCAATTTAATATAAAACAATGATTTTTAAATGTTTATTTCTGTATACATATCTAAAGTATATATTATATTTAATCTAGTCACATATCTATAGATAAAGAATACTCAAATTAATATAGATGTATCATATTGTCGGTAAAAGTACTTAAGTAGAGATAATTATGCTTCACATGCGGCACTTTTATGTACATATATACACAACATATAAATTCCAGTAATGGTAGCATTCATTTATACTATATCTTGCTCCACATACAATCCTTAAGTATTTCTCAGTCATAAAAGTCACACTCTACGCAACGAGAGAGCGAGTGAGAGAGAGAGAGAGAGAGTGAGAATCACTTTGCTGCTGGCCAGCCATAAAAAAGGCGGCGATAACGTGCATTGATTATGCGGCGCCTGCTCGGCCCGTGATCAAATGCTCATTATAAACCACTAAAAGAAGAAGATGAGGGAGTGGAGAAGAAGAAGAAGTGGTAGTAGTGTTGGTAGAAAAAAAAATGCTTAATTACATAGCAAGTCTGGCAGGAAAAACGGGCGTAAAAGTTGTCAACGTAGTCGGAACATTTTCTTTCACCTTATTTGTTTTTTATGCAGCACTTAAAAACTTGATGACGAGCCATTGGCCGTTACAGTGGGACGTCGCGACGTCAGGCTAAACGTGTGTCTGGTCGGCGGTCGACCAAAGCGTTTTGCCGGCTGTTCGCTGCTTGGCATGTTGCATGTTGTGTTGGCCAACGTCTGGGTCATTTGGCTAGCTGTTTAAAGTACCATAAAAGCCACGCGGCAGCTCGGCTCCAGCTATGCGAGTTCCGCCAGTGTGCTCTTCTTCTACTCCTCATCATCCTGCTCCACCCCATTTGTCGCCAGTTGGCGGAAAAGTGTCACGCGATTCTCCAAACGGCCTTCGCATGCCCGTTGCCCATTTCTGACACGCCGTTTCGTTCTGTCATCCAATTAGGCAAAGAAGTTTCGCTTTCACTTTTTCGCCGGCCCATTCCCTAGAGCATTGCGCTATCTGGACAATTAGCTAACAAATCGCGAACATGATTTGAAGTATATAAATAAATTTAGATAATACTTTAATTATCTCATTGCGGCTAAAGGATGACATATTTTTAATAGATTTTTCAAGAAAGAGACATGTTGTATCCAGATTTTGGAGCTCAAATATGGGAATATTTGTATAGTTATACATTTATATTTATACTGCTTAAACTGTTATATTTGAAATAAAGGCTTTTTTTTATATGCTTATGCTTATGCTTATGCATTGTATTATATAAAGATGTATTATATAAAGATTTATTATAATCCATTATAAGAAAAAATCAATTACATTTTCTTGAAAATGAATGAATGATTAAAAAATAAACGACAGTAAATTAAAAAATAAATTGAATTTAAATTTATCGACCTAAATCAAAATTTATTAATCAAACATTTTATTTTAGTATATTATTAGTTTAAGTACCTAAATCTCATGTTTAAAAAAAATATATATTTTTAATATTTCTTAAAAATGTATAAAAATCACAATACATAAAAATTCACCAACCTTATTATTTTTACTTACAAAATCAATGTTTTTTATTAAACTATGAAAACAAATTATTATAGTTTTGTATAGCAGTTTAGCAATAAGTATTATTTATTATTATTATACTATTATACTATGTTTTTATACTATATTTTATATACATATTTAGTATTCAGTTTAACAATTCTATATTTATTTAGGTAAAAATACTAAATCATGAAATTTTCTTTATATATAATAGTTAGTTATATTTGAAATTAATGCTAGTATATAGCAAATACCCTGATCTTAGCTTCGACTTGGTTTAATATTGTACTTAATTTTTATTTACATATATAAATTATGAAAATTACTTAAGTTATACTATTGCAAACTTAGCTGATTAATTTTTTTTTTTTTTATCAAATTTATTACATTAAAATCGAATTTTAAGTTGAAGAAACTTTGCAAATTGTCAAATCTCTCTAGTTGAGCGACACTGTAACTTCTAAATTTACACTTCAACACTTTTATGCCGAACTCTTGAGCTTGAGTATTTAATTTCATTTAATATTTCATTTAAGAAGCATCTCTTCGCCTTATTCAATCCTCATAAAGCCCCAATTGTACTTCACGTTCAAAATGCAACTGACAGCCGCTGGCAATTGTTAGGCCTGTCGTTTGGTTAACAATAAGAGAAATATTTATTCACATCTACATATATCTATCTCGATGTCCATCTATCTATATTCTTATTGTTTCATATTCAAAAGTTTGTGAAGCCAAAGATTGAGGTAAGCCAGACTGGCGACCAAGTTAAAGACAAAGGCATTTGCCACACATTGTCCTGTGGCATGCCACAAGTTATGTCAATAGCTCGGCTCATGGGCCACAGGCCATAGGCCACAGACCACAGTCCCTGTGATGTGAAGAGTTCGGCACAGTTTGAGTTTTCTAGCCAATGCTTTCAAGCATGTTCAATTCATGTATGTATGCCATCTATGTATCTATGTATCTATGTGGCCATGTCAGCAGAACATTAACGCCAACAATAACAAATATGTCGGGCCATCGAAATTGAAGTGATGAAAGCGTCCTGCTGTTAGCAGGACGAGCAGCATGCAGCAGAAGCCGCAAACATTGACAACCATTGTTAACAGGAGGCGAATATTGTGCATGACAGCCTGGCTGTGTAAGGAAAGGGCGCCATTTGTGTTTGCCAGTCGAAACAATAAATCCACTCGAGTCGGCACTAAACAAGCACAAAAAAATCAACCCAAGTCAAGCCAAGACCAGCCAAGCCAAGCCAAACCAAGTCGAGTCAAGTCCTGTTCAGACTCAAACCAATCGGGCTAGCATCAAAGTGAAACTCTTGACAAGCCAAAAAGCGAAACGTTAAACAAAAAGAGTTTTGACGCCCAGGCAAGTTAAAGTGAGCAGTGTTGGGCAACGCACAAAAGTAACAAGGTAACAAACGCATGGGCTTCACCTCTGTTCTATTCATAGAGTCGACTGGAACTGATTGAATTGTTTTCACCTGACTTTCCTATAGCTGAAGAAAGATAAACTCTTCAATGCGTATGAATTGATTATGGATTGAGTTCAGTCGAGTTCCTTTTGGTTACCGTAAAACTGTGAACTATATATATGAACTTTGTTGAATTTACAAAGTGTTTCTAGTGTCGATAACTATCAAATCCATGCTTAGAACACTCAGTAATAAAATAACTAATTTGATTAAAAGTCTTGGGAAATAAAATTAAAAAATATATTGATAAATATCGATAGAAATTGGTCGGGTGCTTTAAAATTAAAATACATAATTTATTATCTAATATATATCGATATTAATTGGTTGATCGATAAAGAAATAAATTCATATATTTCATTTGACTTCGATTGAAAGCAACTTTTTGATTGTTTGATTAATAGATAATTAGCTGAAAGTAGAGGAATTATTGTTACGGCTTACAAATTATTTAAATACAAATTAGATCAAATATCGATATTAAAGTATCACATTTATATAGTTTTATAAACAAGGAAATTTATCTCTGATAGGTTATTAAGATTTATTTTGGTTTCGATATAAATGAAGGCATTGAATTTGATTCTGTCGTTGATCGTAATTATTAATATTATACATACAAATGCATATAATATTAATTTAAAAATTGTCTTAAACGATTTTCACTTCGATAATAGAGTAGAGATTCTTGAAGACTTTATTCATTAACTCAATTTGTTTTTGTTTTTTTTTGTTTTTTTTTTTTTTTTTTTTTTTTTTTTATATTTTATTTATAGTAAGTCTCTTTCTTTCAAATCCTTTAAATTCGCGTTCTTTGCGGTGTTTATTGTGTATTCATCTGAAGCAAATAAAAAGCACGAAGTGAAATAAAGGCATCTTATTATGGAAAATCTTGACTTTGTTGGTCGCTTCGTATTTCAGCTGTGCTTAACTTTTCCCAACTAATTTATTAAGCACTAATTGCGTTTGGCACTAGAGTCAATTAATCAATACCAGAATTCGAGTATATTTTGCACTTTGATTAATTGGCCCAAAGGAAAATGGAGAAAAGTGCATTCAAAACTGGACAAAGCTGTCCACAACTCGAATCAATCTTCGTTTTCCCTACTTTGACTTATCACGTTTCGTTATTCCAGTGCTTTTCCTACGCTCTCCCTCCTGTTCTTCATCGAAAAGCTCTCCAGTTCCAATGGGCTTCATTTGGATGTATATATACATATTATATATTATGATGCTGTTCCTTAACTGCAATTGGCGTGGGCCTAGCAATCACTGTCGCCTGCAAGTACTTTTCCATCTGTTATACCGTTTTCCTTTTTTTTTTCCAGTAGTATTAAGAGTACGACTATTGAAATGTGCTGATTGTTGGAGATGCTATACCCTGTTTTTTTTTGTTTTAATACTGTACTGCCGGAACATATAATTATTTTGAGTTATATTTTATATCGTATTTATTTAAAGGAAACGAGAATATATTCAGAATTAGAAGTGGAATTTGTTACTGTAATGTACTTATTGTCTATGACACTCTACTCTATATCTAATAGCCTATTTTTTATGCAATGATTCATTGAACTTTAAAATACTAATTTTTCGCTCATTCTATAATATGTAAAACTAGATTCTATGTATTTAACATAGATGTAGTTTATTGTCTGTTTAAATTACAATTAAATTCAATCTATCTTTATGATTTATATATTAATTAAAAACTAAAGTAATAGCCAAGTTTCAATAAGATCAAGTAATTGAAGATGCACAACTTTTTAAGTCATTAAAATACCTTCCTACGAGTTAGAGAGAAGAATCCGATATTTCATACAGATGTATGAATTCAGTTTTGAGACATGTAAAAAGTAGATGCACTTTTAGTGCATTATATATAGTGCTCTATCGCTTTCTTTTATACTTTTAAATAAGATTC